TATATTGATAATATAAAAGATGAAGTAAAGAATCAAGTTTAGGATGACGAGTTTGAAGAAGTCCGAATCCCATATCTAATTCCTCTTGAGGTTGAGGATTAGGTAGAAGTTGGTGGTGAAAAGAATATAGGGGTGGATGAACTGGTCAATGAAGACACAGCACATGAAGATATTGCTATTGCTGAAGAAATTGATTATGGAGCAACAGATGCAGATATGTTAATACATAGACAAGCTAAACAAAGTGAGACTGCTAATTAGGTATAAGACATTGGCGAGGAAGACTCCAATGGCAATTCTGTTGGAGAATATAGGGTTTGAGTTGGAGATCTGGATAGCACTTGGATCGTGAGAACATTTTCCAAACTGAATTCTACCATATATGTCTGGGTCGTAAGAAATTCAGTCTAGGATAATCCAAGAGGACACTTACGTAAGCCAAATTTCTAGAAAGATTTTTTGAGTGTATGAAGAAAAAAGAGAGCTAATTTTCGTCTGTCCCTTCACAAAAGGAAGAGCCGTTTATATAATAAATGAGATTAGGGTTTCATTAGGGTTGGGTCGTTATGAGTTGCTTTAGAAGCAAGCCAGGAAATCCAAAATTTAATGAGGATTTAGGGTTTCCAAAAACTAACAAGTTTCATTAGTTTTACCATAATCACCCTCAAGAACTAACGAGGTTTTAGGGCTGTGCCCCATGGACCCCGCTAGGGGTGCTGCCCTAGACCCCGCTAAAAGGGTGCTAGAAACCCCGAACCCAGGGGCTCTGCCCCCGGACCCCCGACTTGTCGTTGAACCGGCCTCTAATTCGATCTTATACATGTGTGCATTCCGCACTAACCCGTATATATATTAGAATACAAATTATGAAGCCCCTTAGCTCACATGATTGTTCCAATTACATAAAATGACATGCTGACATTAAAATCACCAACAAATTCCAGTTTTGTTGATTATAAAACCATCAATGGAATGGCATCAAGTGATAGGAAAGAAATGATGAGTAGGTCAAATATGTATTTATCAGAGTTGGCTGCAGCCTCTTTTTTTAAAGGAGAGTTCAAGAGAGTTCATGAGAATCAAGTTAACATTATGATAAAGGCAATGGGAAAAGTCAAGTTTAAGGAGATGAGAAAGACACTATGATTGAAGATGGTGCAAGATTCTGAATTAGGAGGGAAAATGATGGATAACTGCGACAAGTTTTAGCCCAGGGGCATTTAGGGAAAATTACCATTTAATTAAGTTTTTGTACTAGAGTTGGTTTCCAATCCATAGTATAATTAGGGTACTTTCTTTTATGTTGAATATTCAATTTTTATACATTAGTTCAGTTTACTTGCTGCCAACTCTTCTTCCTCTGTTCGTTCTCCTCTTTTCAATTCTGTCCATATTGTTTTTGTATTCTTCAGGAATCGAGTGAATTGGTTCCTGTATAAGCCTCATTCTAAGAGAATTAAAACAAGTTAATTCTTACAATATAGACCTTCAATTATCATCAGTTCCTCTAATTTCGGCTCATTTCCGGTTTTAAGATATTTTATTTTGATTGTAAAATCACAGAATTTCCTTAATTCCAGAGAATGACGTGATTAGATAACTATTTACTTTTAGTAAATTAGTGTCAATTTTAATTTTTCAAAATTTGACCATACCTATCAATTTTAGCCTATATAATATCAATATTAGCATATATAGATTAGTTTTTCGCGTTGGGATTTTCTTGAGCACTTATTGTTCTTTATTCATAGTATTTGTCATATTAGTTCTTTAACTAGATATATTAGCTTTTATATTAGAGCGATGTTTTATTTAATTATCGTGTCCCATGATTTTAACCAAAATATAAGAAAGTTGGGTATTCTGTGGAATACCTAGTAAATTTTCAGTGAGAATAAATAGCTCCAACTGCAGCGAGTAAAAGTTTAAAAGAAAAATACGAGTTGGACTCTAAACGTTATTTTACTAAAATGAAAAATGAAAGGATGCATATGTGCTTTTTCCACTCTGATCTTTAATTTGACGCTACTCATTTCAGATACTAAACATCCATCAATTATGTAGAATATGCACTGTTTATGTGGACAATGAGCCGGAAACTAGTGCTGTATCCAAATTTGTAAGTGCAACTTGTTCAATATCAATTATACGAAACTAAAACTATTTTAGTAATACGGTATATATAAATTAGCTTATCATGATTCTATATTTAACCAGGTTATCTCAATATTAACGTGGATGAGAAAAAATCCTGATGCTACCAGTGACTCATATTTATTAGAAGACTGTTCCAGGTATAATGATGGTGATGAATATTATGTTATATAAGTAGAAAAATCGGGAAATTATGCGCCTATCACATTTGAGATTTGAGAAATTTCCTAAACACAGAGTTTTGCAACAACTTTATAATAGAACTATTAATTTTGTGTTATTTAGAAAGCACTACATACACATAATCACTTCGGTTTTCTTTGATTCTGTTTTAATACGGTCTATATGTCCAAAAGAGAACAAACCTTTGAAAAGTACTTTAAAAATTTTACATTGATTAAGAAATTAACAAAATGATTTATTTTCGTATATTTATATGTGATTGGGTGATTAAAAAAAGTTAAACTTTATTTAATGTTAATTTTTTTAATACGACTCTTTCTTTGAGCCAAACAATTATAAAGTGGCTTTTTTATTCTTTCAATTTGTGTTGTTACGTCCTCCATGAGCATTATGTTACTTATCCTTCACAAATGCAACTGCATAACAAATTAATAATATGTGTTTTCAAATGCAGCATACCCTTCGATGTGCATGACCTTATTACAACCATGCAAGTAGAAGATTTTGCAAACGTAAAATGTTCTGCAAAACTTACTAAACATCTTGTGTAGCACCTACAAATCGGGGCTAAATTAGTGACCTTCGTGTGTAAATTTCATCAAATAAATAAATATTTGTTATAGATTAAATATATTTAATTAGTTAGATGATTATTTTTTTTTGAACGGCAACAATTTTTTTATAAATAATAAGGCTAGCCCGGAGCTAGCAAAAATACAGAGTATTGATACAAAAAGGTAAGGAGAAGTAGAAGAGAAAAAACAGCAACAAACAACCCCAGGTTATATAACAAGTATAACAAGGGGAAACAGAAGACAGACTAGACTATAGTAGTGTGGTGACTGAGCATTATAACGTTATTCCAACACAGACCTTCAGCCACAATAATTGGAACATTGCAAGATAAATATGACAATAGCACCAAGATCTGCATCTTGTAAAGGAGATTTTTTCCAACCCTCAAAAAAGAAAACCCGAGTGAGCACGAAAGAAACACAAACCCAGTTAATTAATAATTGTTTATTAGTATAGGTTAGAACTTAGAATTTAAGTTTAAGACCTTTAAAGGTAAGTGTTGACTTTAAAAAAAAAATTAGAGATTTGTAACTTGGACTTAACCTCCCTAACTAGTGTTTGACCTTATATATAAGGATTTTTAGTGTTTGGGATCAAAGTCTCAAACTAGAAACTTACACTACTAGAAAAGAAAAGTTATTCCTACAAAAATTTCCCTAGGAAATAGATGTTTCCTAGGCATTTCTGAGAAAATTTACTTCCTCGGGAAAACCCTCGTAAGAAATCTTTCCGTGACATTTCCGAGAAAATATTTCTGTAGAAAATAACGAGGACTTTCCTACAAAGGCTTATTCTGGGAAAATTTCCAAGGAATTTCAGAGGGAAGCAAGTTCCTAGGGATTTCTGAGGAAATTTACTTCCAAGTGATTTCCGAGGAAATGTTTTCCTAGGGATTTCCAAGCTAGCCAACAATCAAAGAGTCCAAAACTTGCACAGGTGATGCTCACGTCGTGAGCACCTTATGCTCACACCGTGAGGTCGTGACTTTGGCCCAGAAACTTCCTCGAATACGCTCTCAGGCCATGAGGCTTCATTCCTCACGTCGTGAGTCCAGATCTGACAAAAAATGAGCATTAAGCTCGTAATCCATTAAGCCTTAGCATGGGACAGTCTAGAGGGTCTTCCTTGACCCCAAGGACCATAAACATCGGAGCTTTTTAGTCACATATGTCCAATACATGACTTAAACACTAGTTAGGTCAAAATATGGGTATCAACATCAAGATTCAAACTTGGAGCCCATAACTTGCACCAAAATTCAGATCTAAGGGTTCTAGCATAGAAAATGACTCAATGGTCCATAAAGTTGCCAACTTTATGGACCTCATGCATGATAATCCAAGATCCACGCAAAGAAGGTAACCAAAACCTAGATTTAGCAAGATTAGAAGAGAAAGGTGGGATCTTGGAGGCTTACAGAAGCTTGTAAGCTCAGAAATGCCACAAGGAAAGGTTTATCTCGCCATAAGGAGACACCACAAGAGCTTCTTCTTCTTCTTCAAGCAATCAAAACAACATTAACACTCCAATAACACCAACCATGGCTCAAGGCTTCAACGGAGGCTTAGATTAGGGTTTCCAGAGGTCTTGGAGGTGAAGGAGGCTGACTAGAAACAACCCTAATCATCTCATACCTTTAAATACCCAAAAATAAGGGTTTTTGTGCCTCACGTCGTGATCACTTCATGCTCACGTCGTGAGCCTTAAATGAGCTTGGTCAACAAGTCAACGATCACTCACCCGAACCACTCCAACTTCAAACGACCATAACTTCTTCGTTTCAACTCCGTTTTTGACGTTCTTTATATCCACGGAAAGGTGGTGAGAAGCTCTACACATATACTAACTTATCCTCACCTCAAAACCTTCCGAACAAAAATCCAAAATCCATAAAGAGCTTGAACTGCCACTTTACCGATATACCCCTTGGCTCCAAGACACAACCCAAACTCTCGGATGACCTCAATTACATTATCCGCACCTAAATGGGTCTAGATCTCTCTTTGCCAAAGCCCTTAAGCCTTATGATGAACTATCTTCAGGCCACAATCCCGAATTAGGAAAACGATTCGGAACAGGTCGTTACATTATCTATCATAACATACTCGTTCTTGTGACCACTCATAGTCAGAAGATGTCGTAAAGCTACCTGTTTGAGAAGATGTAGACCCTGTAACAAGGAAATGAAGATCGAAATTGCCTATCCCATATATACGACTACCTCGGCCTCTTCCTTCCTGTGTACGCATCCACACATCAACATCATCCCTCGGATGCTGATTCATATCCTCCCCATACCTTTCAGTCATGCCCCTTTCATATGAAACCTACAATTTATCAAAAAACAATATTGAAATATTAAAACTTAAGATGATAATTATCTAAAAATGATAGAGATATTTTACTAATGTTTCTTTCAATTTAGATATACACAAGTTCAAATCTTGAATATTATCATACTATCCATCCCAAAACTTTTTCTAGTCCTCCTTAGTAAGGTGGGTATCACAAAAGATTTGTGAATATGTTGCAGGATCCCTCAATTTCTTTTCCTACATAAAGCACAAAGTACAACTTTTTTTAATTTGAGTAAAAATAAAAGCATTTACTAAAATTATAAATGATATTAGCTAAGTTACCAAGTTGATTCGATGTTCTTCATAACCCATCGAGCCGCCAGTATGCCTAGATACCTTACCGACATCATCAGCGCTCCTACGGTTGGCCATCCCGACATCAGACTTATTTAACCATTGAGGAGTGTTCCAATACTATGAAAAATAAAAATATATGTAACATAATATTTAAAGTTAATAAAATTTAACAAAAACAATAATGTATGAACTCACTTACATCGCATAATGCTTGCCATACGCGATCATTAATATTATCGGATCGATAATTACGAGTTATTGGGAAGTTACGATCGGAAACATTTTAATGACCCACTTCCATAGCTCTTCTTGTAGCCAGTTCCCTATAGTGCATCATCACATCGGACCAACGATCGCCCAACACTTTCTCAACTGCACCTTTGATCCTGCCCTCGTTTGTTGGAATCCATTGATAATATGTCTATAAAAAATAAAATTTAAAGTTAAAAATACAAACTTAAATCAAATTAGGATAAGATACACACATACACACACACACACACACATATATATATATATATATATATATATATATATATATATATGTGTGTGTGTGTGTGTGTGTGTGTGTGTGTATGTATATGTAGAGAGAGAGAGAGAGAGATAGGTTCATTTGTGGATTTACATCTATTGTGCGGACGTGTGGACAGTGCTATTCTGTGAGAATGAAAAAGATAATATGTTGTTTGATAATATGAATACGTTCAATCTTACATAACTATTGTCATTATCACACATTCTGACTAATTAAATCGTCTATAAGGTTATTATAGAAATTTTATTTTTATTCTTATTCTGTCATAATGTTGTCAGAACGTTTATTGAGTTGTATTCTGTAAGAATGAAAATCAGTGAAAAACGATGTGTGAGAACAAAAATAAATAATAATTAGTGAGAATGCATGAAAATGACGATAGTTGTGTGAGGTTGAACGTATTCACATTACTAAACAACTTATTCTCTTAGTAATTCTCATAAAATAGCACTCTCCACACGTCCGCACAATAATTGTCCATCCACATTATAACCTATATATATATATATATATATATATATATATATATATATATATATATATATATATATGGGATAGTTCACGTGAGAACACCAAATAAAATGAGAACCTGAGGACAAATCTAGAGTATCAAAGCAAAATATTTGACGGTTATGATTGATCAATATTTTTTTAGTAATTATATAAAGAATATTATTAAAAATTAAATTAATAATTACATAAGGGTAAAAGGGTAACTACAATATGTGATAATATTGGAAATAAGAGAAAATCTAGAAAATGTTAAATTTTAGATTTTAAAATTACAAAATTTGAAAATTTGAAATTTAAAAAATACATAATTTTCAAATTTCAAGTTGCAACTTGATTTATATAATAACTAAATCTCAATTAATAATGAAGATTCATAATTAAATATATAAATATATAAAATCGTTTGTATTAGGATTAATGACATATGAGATTCTTTATTGAATAATGACATTACCATAAATTTATATATACAAAAGTCATAAGAAAATAATCCGAAATATGAATCTGTACAAAAAAAAATGCAAAGACAATAAATGTACATAAGTTCTATATAAAAAAATTAATTATCTTCTGTTCTTCTATTCTGGATCTTGAATATTGTTTTTCTTGGTCTTGACTAGTCTTCACTCATTGGGTTCTTTGAAGCTGTAGTTTATCGGGAACCACCCAGTGATATGTATTCATAGTAGAATATAAACATTATCAGTAAATTATATATGAATAACTAACTATCAAACAATATTCATACTAGAAGAACAATAAAATTTGTAAAATAAATAACGCATAACTAAAATTTATGACCAAATTCTTAATAGAATAAACACATTTATTAATCACTATGTAGATGTAGAGTAGTGGAAACAAATCCTGCACACATTCATCTTAGAATATTAAAATCAAACCTCGTATCATTTCAATAACCATTATGAACATTAGATATTGTATATCTAATATTAATTGTTGAAGTTCATATGAAAATATAAACAGATAACAATATATTCATTCTATAGTTAACAAACGTTATAAAGTTATAAACTATACTAATTCATATGACACCGTAACATTGGATAAAAGAGTGGGCAACAGGAAATTTGTCTTTTACCTTCATTCTTGATGATCCTGCTGGCAACAGTTTTGTAGAGAATCTATAAGTTTCTCTTTTCATCTACAAAAATATTTGTATCTTTCTACTGAAAATGTACTTTTGGGGGGGGTTTTGGAACTTTGGATTCTGATTCCTCAAGATTTGATTGGAATTGGAATTCAATTCCATTCCAGCATTTTGTTGTAAATGATAATGGAACCGAATTCCATTGGATGTCATGTCATAAAAAGAAAACCTTATTCGGATTTCGACCTGCGTTAGAAACCGTGATTTCCCTTTACACTTCTTGTCCTCCCAAGCACTCGGATCAATGTTGGAAACACCAAAAGTCGTTGCCTAAATCATAACATTACACTCAAGTCAAGGCTCAACATATATATTATAACAAATCAAACAACTGTGGAAAAAAACACACACCTCAAAAATACCATGTAGTTAGTGAATGGTATAGTTGTAGAGAAACAGAGGTAACCCAGGTGTAATTTGTCACACCCCAAAACCAGGAACGGCGGAAACGTTCTGGGGCGGAGGACGTCATGTACAGTATCACAACAATGAATAGTAGTAAACAAGCAACAACATCATCCATTGCATTAATAATATAATTTTAATACAAGTGTGTTCTGTCAAGTTATATAGACACCAAAATATAAATCAAAATGAAAGATGAGTCTTGAACAAGCTCCATCTTCTCTAAACCTTGCACCGGTACCTGTCTACTGGTGACCTGAGGATACAAGTTATTTTGAAAGAGAGTATCAACTTTAAAGCTGGTGAGATCATAAGTATTTTAGTGTCTGTATTTGTAAGTATGCGATGTATAAGTATGTAAAAGTTTTGAACCTCCTAGAAAACCCTATGTTTCCTACTAAAAGTAGCCTTCTACTAAGGCATCTAGTATCTGTGCGTGTCTCTTGTAAGAGTGTGTATTTTCCCAAATCTGACTATCATTTATCAAAAATATAGTTTTCGCATTTCTGTATAATGTGTGAAAGCACAAAGTGAATGCAATGGGAAAATAAAATAGTACTGTAGTATTGTAATAAGTAACTACTGCTGTACTAACTACCTTAAACTATTTATAATTTAAAGTACCATGTGATCGGCCTGTATCCTACTACCGACTATAGTATGCGACAATGTAAGATGTCGGAGAAAAATGACGTTTGGCACCCGGAGACTTGCAAGTCCCACTGTAGCGAACAGCAAGGTGTAGGATAGTCAATCCAGTATAGCTATACGCAAACTCATACGCTCCCCAATTAAGGAGATTCTGGATACATGAACGGTCATGGCAGGTAGTGCCATGCCCCGTTACGTGGCTCACATAACTGTAAAACTATATATGAAATGAATGTGATAGCTGTATTGTATGTTCTCCCTCTGTCTAGCCTGTATGTATGTTCTCTCTGTATGGTATTGTAATGTACTGAGTGTACTAGCTGTATTGTGTGTTCTCTCTCTATCTAGCATGTATTGTAATGGTCCGTGTGTACTAGGTGTATTGTGTGTTCTCTCTCTATCTAGCATGTATTGTAATGTTCCGTGTGTACTAGGTGTATTATGTGTTCTCTCTCTATCTAGCAAGTATTGACTCATGAATGAACTGACTCATTGTATGATTCATTGTTCTAGTAATAGTATTAGTAACTCCCTAAGCTACACCTATAGTAGCTTACCAGCAATATGACTTGAATGTATAGACATGTATGTATACCCTTGCTACCCAAGGGTATGGAATTTTACCGATAGAACGTTTATGACTATATATGCATACATGATATATAACTAATATTTAGAAGACCTTCGGACGGATAACCGATACCCTAAAGCCACATCCCAACGAGGAAAAGGAAACAAGGCGAGCTAGCCGTTCTAAGTCCTTTAAACATTACTTATATAACTATACATATATAGGCATGCATTTGACAATATAAAAGTATAAAAGAAGTTTTGTAAAACCTTTGAAAAGTTTAATAACTAAGAAAGGATGACTTGATGTCAGTTTGTAAAATGATTTGAAATCAGATTGTTTGATAAGAACAGTTTTAAGTATAAGAAAACCTTCGTTTGAAACACAATTGTAACAGAGTTTGAAAAGAAACATTCAGTATGTAAGACAGTTTGATAAAGAGTTTTAAACAAGTAACAATGTTTTGGAAAGCCATTTGAAGTAATATGTTTGGTAAAACAGCTAAAAGAGTAGTAAATCCATTTGTATGCTAATTATTAATCACATGTGATTGATATAATAACTAGCATGATTCAACTTGTATCCCCCCATAAAAGCATTTAAAAACATTTAAAACATTGATTAAGGGGTATGAACTCACCTGTAGTGAGTGGTTTGGAAGAACGGACTGAATAGGATGCTAAGTGTCAAGTGAAGACTTGAACACACACAAGGATCCTAGTTAACATATAATAACACATATATGTATCCAATTAGTCTTTAAACAACTAATTAACAAAGTTAAGACATCCTGAGACATGTAAAACACCTTATATAAGTGCTATAAGTCCTAAGGATTGCATCTAAGTCTTGCAGGGCATTGCTATTGAGTTTAGGGTTCAAGGGAACCCTTCACATGAGTTTACGGTTTTGTGACCACAACTCATTGAGTTTACGGTCGTAAACCCACGAGTTTACGGCCGTAAACTCATGTCACTTTGACCACTTTGCGATTTGAAGCCTTAAAGATCATAAGAAGCTTTCCTACTTCATGGTTAAGCCTTTGGAAGAGACTAGGGCACCATTTCACTCCTAAATGGAGTTTACGGCCCATGGACCACTTCTCCATGTGTTTACGGTTGTAAACACATATGGTCTATGGTCTTTTGATGTTTTCAAGACCTTAACACATCAAGGAAGGGGTCTAGGCTAGTTTCCAAGGCTTAGAAGGGACTAGGGCTCACTTTGGC